GTGTATTTTTTGTAAACAAGGTGTGGTGGCCCTAAAATGTAAAATGTTGGGTAAATTTTGTGTTAATGTGTGGTCTTAAGTAAAACTAAGATGTAACACTGAATTGATTGACAATTTATACTTTATACTTTAAAAAACACTCAAATGAAGTGGGGACATTTTTGACCCCTGATCACCCCAGGTGTATGAAAATCGGGAGGACATTATGAGGGTTAAAAAAGGCTGAAATAAAAGGCTATTTACATTAAAATTGGTAGTTTGAATTTATTTACAGCCCAATAACACATACATACATAAACACTATACCTGTTCTTCAGGGCTGTTAATAACCACCAGATCTGCTCCCCTGTCTCTGCAGTCCATTCTGGCTGCATCCCAGGAAGCAGAGCTTTTAGAGATGAGATAGCAGCTATGGTTGAAGCTCCATCCTACAGGACATGTTTTATCTGGAAGAAATTACAAACAAATAACACTTCAGTTTATGAATGATCTTTTATGAACTGTATAACAATGAATTCTGTTTAATTAATTAAAATCCTCCAAAGACTTGACCACAAAGATCTAAACAGTCTATTTACTTGCGTGTCATTATTTATAATATAGTAAAAATAATAGAAAACTTTTAATAAATACAACAATTTAAACAATAAACACCACAATAAAAAACTGTCAGAAACCCCAAACTTAACCACCTTCTGAAGTCTCCACTAAGGTAAAAGGAAAAAGCAAATGCAAATTTTTAGCCACAACAAAACACATAATTATAAAATAAAACAGATTAAAATCTAGAATTATAATCATAGATAAAACTGCAAAACATTTATGAATAAATGATCTTAAAGAAACTGTACTGTGGTTTGGTGTATTTTTGCAGATCCATTGATGAGAATATGAACAAAAATAATCATTCCAAAACCTTCCCCATTCATTGATATAAGCACAGTCTTCTTCTCCACCATCATCAGGTTGTGTTGTTGCCCAGTACCTAGCAGGTCAGTGACAACAACATTATTTTATTATTATTGAGGAAAAAATTAGTCTTTGGTGTTTGTGTGAGGAGTTTTGTCAAACAAATTTTCCATCAGCAACTTTGAGTTTTTATAAACACTGCACATTAAGATCACCAAATTACAGATAACAATGGAAATAATATATATTTTATTTTACTTTTTTCAGTACATGGTGTTTGTTAGACAGGACTATACAAAGTATAAAGACAAACACATAAGCCCAGATTACACAGACATCTTGACTGATATAATAACTACTGCCTTGGCTCTAGTGATGGGTCGTTCACGAACGAAATGGCTCTTAGAGCTGGCTTTTTGACTTGTGCTTTACGCTG